ATTGCTGGAAAACTTTCTTGAGGTCTCAGAAGGATACTGAGTTCTCGCACATTAACTGAAGGGGTAGCAGTACTGAATCTTTAACAAGGACGTCCTTTGTCCAATGTGCTCATTTATCATTGGAGTTAAATAGGTGTTAACACAAAACAAATAGACAAAGCAAAACCCCAAATAATTCTATAGTTTTATTTAAAAATCATTCCCATTCCCACTTGCTCAGCTGATATCGTTTCACTGAGTCGTGATATCGTTTCACTAGTTCTCCAGTCACAACTAGGCTAGGCTAGAATAGGCTAGACAAGACCTGAATGTCAAATGAAAAATATCAAACAAGGGGTAAAAAACAATTTTTTTTTTTTTTTTTACAAAAATCTTCCTGGCCCTCTTTAAACATCAAAAGAAACAAAAAATGGCCCAAGCCCTGTTTTTTGGCCTTTGCAGATCACTTTTAAGTGACTCACTGAAAGTCAAGCCAGAGATGGAAAGAGAAACCGTGTCACCTGACAGATTTATTATTATTAAATATTATTGCTGTTGTTGTTGTACTAAACACTAGGTTATACTATTAGCATGGAGCCTTTGGTAGATGGAGGTGCAGAGCTACATCATGCCAGTGGAAGCTCCTCAGTGCTCAAGGGAGGGAGGAATTTGTGACACCCCTTTTAGAGGATGTCCACACAGCAAAGAAAAACCTGTGGCTGGCCCATGCCAGCCAGCTTGGGCTTGCGGGGCTCAGGCTGCGAGGCTGTTTTATTGCCGTGTAGATTTATGGGCTTGGGCCAGAGCCCAGGCTATAGAACCCTGCGGGGTTGGAGGGTCCTGGAGCTCAGGCTCCAGCTCGAGACCGGAAGTCTACACAGCAATGAAACAGCCCTGCGTCCTGCAAACCTGAGTTGGCTGGCACAGGCCAGCTGTGGGTTGTTCTTTGCTGTGTAGACATACCCTTAGAGTGTTGAATATGCCCCACTGCATGGCCAGCCAGATTAGCTGCTACAGCTCTAAATAATTTATGATCCTTCCCACGCTTTTTTGGGCAGGTGCACCTGAGAAAGCGTGAACAATTCAGTAACAGCCCCTGTGCTCTTTTGAATGTGGGTCTGCAGTTCTGACTTGCTCTTCAGTGGGCTGTGCAGGTGGGAAAGAAAAGTTCTTACAGAGGGTAAAATTCTGGTCCCAATGAAGTCAATGACATAACACCTATGGAACTCAATGCAGTAAGGATTTCACCAGAGTCACTGCATCAATCCTGCTAATCTCTGATTAGGTTGGAATGGCATTATATTTAAAACAAATTCCTGTTAGCTTATTCCTGAAACTGTGAGAAGCTGACCTTCCTTGCTTATTTTCTTGTTTATAATAAACAAAACAAAACAAAACAAAAAAGTATATTAAATGTAAATACAGAGCGGGTACCTGCAAACTTGGAGTGGATGCATAAAATGGTTTGAAATAGTATCTCTGAGTACAGGAATGAATACCCAGAAAAGTGATTGTTACCATGATCCAATGTCACTACAGCATGTCACAGAGTAGTGCAGATGAGTCAAATGGATGTCAGAAAGAAAGACAGGAAACCCCACGTCTTAAGGGATGAGAGCGTGATCAACAAAAAATAGACATCAGCAAAATAAATAAAAGCCCCCAACCATTGTGAAATACAAACTCTTTCAAATCAATGCAAGGATGTGCTGCTATAAATGGAATGTAATTCTGCAGAGTGTCAGCAGAGCTCTTTAAAGCAGGTGACAAACTAATTGCTTGTTAGTCGTCCTATTTTGACTCAGGTGGGTGACAGCACTGGGGAGGAAAAGCCATTGCAATTTCATTGTGTCCTCGGGCACATCTGGTCTGGCTTTAGAAAACTATTGCAGTTTCATTACACGTTAGCGTTTGTACTAGCAAATTAAATTTCTCTCACTCCACCCCTCCACCAAGATTCCTGACAGACCCTGAAATAAATAAATAAAATAAATAAATAAAGGCCCGTGCAGCCAATGCCACACCGCACACACACTAGCCAATAGCTAACCATTATTTCTCTCCACAGTCATCCCTCCAGTATCTCTGTATGGCTGCACTGACACAATGCAGAAGGCCATTAGCAATCTGACAGTGTGCAAGGGCTGAGGACCATCTTCATTTAACTAAACAAACATAAAACAATCCTCTTTGATCAAATCTAAAATCTCAATTGATTGACCGATGGGGGGTTGTCTCAGAGTAAACTAATTCCACTGTATCGATACACCCACCTGTATGGATTTTGGCAAGCGCCAAATCATTTCTTGCAGTGCATTTTGGAGCAGTGCAAATCCCTCCAGTGAGCTGCTGATATAACTGTCAAGTGTAGGGGAAGAATCACCTCCCTACATGTAATTAAACTTTAACTGTTAAAAAACTTACCTGACTATAAACAGAGGTCAGCGCCACCCCAATGTCATCTATGGCAGCATCACTATCCATCCCCGCCACTGCCATAATTCTCTGGGCAGCCCTATGGCAAATCACTACTGGCCTGATCCTTTCAGGACCCCATTATGACTAGCCCCACATGTCCCTGGGCAGGGCTGGCCAGAATCTTATTGGGGAACATAGTCCCTGATCCTTACTAGCAGCCTCACAGGTACTACCAGTCTGAAAAGTGAGGTGAGAGGCAGGCCATGGCCCTGTTTCTCTTCTGCATTTGCCCACAGACTGCTGGGTGTGGAGCAATGGCGCTGCTTCTCTGTGTGTAGAAGAAATGACTTCAAGGGCAACATCTGTGTGTCCCATCCTCAGCTGATGTAAATTGGCGTAGCTCATTGACATCAACAGAGCCATGCTGCTTTACACCAGCTGAGGGTCTGGCCCATAGGCAGAATCTCTCCCTCTCCTATTCATTCCCCCATTTGTTCTGCTGCCATCAACATTCTGTCTGCCCTTTCAGTCACTCATCCCTCTCCACAGACTTACTTTCCCTCCTCGTTCATTCCTTTCCCACATTTATTATTGCACAATTCACTCTTTTACTTTCACTTTCCCTCCTGACTCATCCAGAATTCCTCCTGGTGCTCCAATTGCCATGTGGCCTGTGCTCTCTACAGGCCTGGAGCCATCCAGGGTGGGATCTTGCCCTTTGTCTAAACTCCCATTTACTTCAATGGGAGTTTTGCCTGAGTACAAACATGGCAAGAACATGCACTGTGGGTCAAATTCAGACCTAGTGTAAGTGTGCAGAACTCTATCAAAGTCAATAAAGTTTCACCTGCTTGTGCCAAGTCTGGATTTGCCCCATTTGAGGTTGATGGCATTAGATCCATGTTTCCATCCCTTTCCCATCTGCCCTTCTGCAGCTGAGAATCATCAATTTTTGTTTAAGAGCAATTGTAAAACAAAGGTGTTTATAATTAAAAATGGCATTGAAAATATATACCTTCTATTTAAGGTTGTTGACATGCTTTACAAACATACATTATTAAGATTCACAATGGTTCTGTAAGGTAAATAAGTCCACTTGTACCAGTTTTATAGATGGGGTGACCCGAAGCACAGAGTAGTGATTTGCCTGAGTCACAGCAAGTAGGGTTGATATTTTAGATGCAAATAAAGCTCCCACAAGTCCTGATTCTGAATCCCCTGCTGTAATCCTCTCTGATATAAAAAAATACAGTAGAACCCTGTTTATCCGACCTTTCATTATCTGGCTCTCCATATTAACTGAACAACCAGTGCACACACGTTCAGAAGAGGGCGATCTCTCCTGTGGCCGCTAGACGGCACTGCAGCCTCGCACTTTCCCATTCTCCGGATTATCTGAATTTTTGAGCATCTGATCTGGCCCTGGTCCCAATTGGATCTGATAAATAGGGCTCTGCTGTATAACCAGTAACCACTACAGTATATGTTTTTTCAAGTTTTGAAATGATGTCATTCTTATATTACAATGATCAAATAGCTTGAAATACCTGATTCCCAAAGGATAAAATGTGTCAGAAATCTGGTTCAAATGTTTACTAAATGCTAGGTTTTGCCCATTGAAAAAGGAAGAAATAAACAACAAAAACATTTATGGTTTTCAGCTGTTAATTAAAACAACTCAGTAAATATAAATACTACAGTATTTCCTGTGTGTAGCCTGCCCTGCCCCACCCTGCCCATATGTAATAACAGTCTCTTCTCAGGCCTCTCACAAACAACTGTGCAGAATCAGCTCTGTCCTCTTATGGAATCAGCAGCTAAATTAAAGTGGAGATGACAGAGATATTTATCACACAACACCAATACTGATCATTAACATATACAATATATTTCATCCATGAGGCTTTTAAAGTCCTTTGCAAATTTGAAAAATGAAATTCTGAGATAAATTCTGACTCCCATGGATTTCAATGAAAATTGTATTGGCCAGCATATGGAGATATATACACCATATATATAAGTGCAACCATCACCCGAGTGAACCAAAGCAAACTTAATCAGTTTAAGACAGGAAATGCTTATCATCAGCTATGAGGCATTTCTTTTTGGATGCTGAGCATATCACCAATAAAGGGTTCTGCCTTAGTCTCTGTCTCTTTCTGACTGAAATAATTTTCATAGGTGCAGTGCTGTTGCCTACAGGTTATATCCATTCAAGCAATCCACTAGTCTTAGACATTTGTAAGAACACATTTTTATAATACCTGTTGGGCCAAATTTGACCAACCATGATCCCTTTAAAGATGCCTTTTCTTTTTTGCAGCCAAGTAAACTTGCCAAATTTCTGACCTATGAAGGATTTTTTAACCCATTTTAATAAGAAAACTAAAGCAGGCATACATAAAGAAAAGGACTTTCCATCAACTTTTGCCAGGAGCTTCCAAATTTACTAAACTTTAAAACTCAGATTCACCCTCCATATCCAATTCTTTAAGGATCCAGGATGTGCGGATAATCCAGTTTAAAAGTGGCATCAGTATGATCAATGTGATAAGATGACTGAACAAGACCTCAGTTACTCCTGAAAGTGACAGTTCACTTACCCTGTAGTAATCAGTACTGTACACATCTCTGGACATTCCAAAATCTCCAATCTTCACTAGCAAGTTCTCACCAACCAGGCAGTTCCGGGTGGCAAGATCACGATGCACAAAGTGCTGTGATGCCAAGTAAACCATGCCGGATGCAATCTGCTGGGCAATGTGCAACATCTGGGACTGGGTCAGCTCAGCTAGAAGGTTGCCTTCTGCCATCAGTACTGCATCTGGTCCATGTGCCCTGCATGGAGCACACAAAAATACGGGCTCATGAAATAAGAGGTCACTTATAAACTAGAGTGACTGTGGAGTTGGCATTAGGGAAACTGAAAATGTAATAGTGGCTTATTTAAAGGTGATGGGCTAAATTCATGTGTGGTAGGAATGAATTTGTCTCAGTGTTTTTTTCCTTCACTGTTTTCTCTTTCTTTCAGGGTGAGGAAGAGAGGTAGTTGAATATATTGCTCATGAAAGTAAGGAACTGGAACTAATAACAATACATCCCATCCTAATCTGCTATGCCCCTGCTGTTCCAGCACAGGGGCCTTTCCTGGACAAAGGCTGCCAGTTGTTCTAACTGTATGGCAGCAGGAGAACATCAAAGACAGGATTTATACTTAGGTCTCTAGAGGTGAAAGGCCACTGCAGTAACACCATTTTTCTTCCCTCTTTCTAAAGCCTACTATCCCCTTCCACAGGGAGATGGGGCATGACGCACATGGTTTTTTTTTTTTTTTTAATTTAAGGTGAGAGAGCTAACTTTACTCTGGGGAACAAAAAAAGAAATAAGAGGAATAATTTCAGATTTTCACCCTTAATTTACCATCCACATGAAGTAGCTCCACTAATCCCAGGTGCCTTTTGTTGACTTTCCCACGGGTGGTGAATTCCACCTGATGCACAGGGGACAGGTCACAAAACTCATTCCAGTTGGCACAGCCGTGCCAGATCAGAAAGTTGGGTTTCTTTCACTGGTTCTAGGTTAGCTTTGAAGTACAGCAAGTCCTTAACACAAACTGATCAGCCCATTCACATGAGAAATTATGAAGCTCTTTGGGGCAGGGGTCATGCCCTTGATAGCTCATTGTGGCACAACCAAATATACATATATATAACTTCTCTGTTGTAATTACTGACACTGTTTTAGGGCAAGCTTTACTTGCCATTCCCTGATAGTGAATTAAGGCAAGACTAAAGAGGTCAGTGGACCCTGATCATCCTCCACCCTGATGTGCTTCAACATTCTGAATACCCATTATTTTATTCCACAGCAGCACCTTCCCTCCACATTTGTAGATTTGACCTTCCAAACGGGCCAACTCCTCCCCTCGCTCCTCTTTTTTTCAAACAACCCTCCCCCACCCAGTGATTTGCTTTCCCATAGACCCCATTCCTCACCCCAAACAAGTACTCTGGATCAATAGGGGTTATGTTTAGCCTTAATTCATCCTTGGGAGGAGGGTATAGAAGCTTGGGAAAGGTTTGCAAATTAATCAAAATCCCCAAGATCAAATTCTGATACTTCCTACCAGAAGTATGATATAAAAATTGCTGGGAGGGAGAAACACTTCACAGGTGAAGTGACAGATCTGGGAGCTAAATGAAGGAAGGTTTGTCACATTACTGGGCCTGCAGTTGGCACTGTGCAGAAAGCTAGCTGCGCATGTTTTGTCATGGAGCATGGACAGCCGTGCAACTGGTGGTAGTTAAAGAAATAAAGGCAAGATGAGAAATCCCAGGCTAAAATCCAAATGTGAATTCATAATGAAAAGCACGGTACATCCTCATCACACAGATTTTTAATAGCCTTCCTCATGAAGGAAGCTGCAAATCTTTACTAATTTAGAAAAGTATTTATCTTTCACCACATATTTCTTTTCTAATTAAACTTCTGCATTTTTTAAATGTTCAACCCATCTTGCTTATCTTCCTAATTTTCCTTGTTAGTCATGAAATCCTTATCTCCAGCAATGCACAACTGTAAGAGACAGTAGCATAGACTCCGCCTGATCTACATCATCCCTCCTATGCCACAATGGTGCACACAGGGAAGCTTTTGACCTTCAGGATGCGGTCCTAGTCCTGAAACGCGACACTATGCTGCAGGAAGCAGCAATACTCAGTTTGGTCCTACATTGGTTAAACTCTGGATTCAGTTTCCCCTGATGGCCTTGGGTGGCGCTGTAGGGTAAGAAATAGATGCTCTTTTATAGAGCGATTACAACTAACCTTTCATCTGCAGTACAAGCTGTAGCAAATGTGAGAGGAATGACAAATTTAAGATCAGATTAAACAGCTTGTCCCAACATAATCATTTTATGTTCTAAATACAATGTCTTATTAATTTAAAAAAACCCAATTTAGCACATATACTGTCTGCTAAGCTGTATTATTATATGATATTTCAAAACCAGAGTGCAGGAGTTACAAAACAATATCTAATCAGAAAATACATAAACAAATAAATAAATATTTCAAATGCTGACTAATAAGCATCTACAATTCCAGCTTGTTTTAATGTTGAAATTTTACAAACAGGCAGTCAAGACTGGAATCGTTTGCAGAGTGGAGGCAGCGTCAATGTCTCAAAAGAAGAGGTTACAGACAGGGTGGGGATAGGCAATGAAGGGCCATAAAAGTGAAGCAAGTAGCTTGCATATCTCCCCAGAGAAAAAAATCTGCTTTATAGTTCATATAGCCAGAGTCTCTAACTGTGGAACAAAAGGCTCCTGGGGCACTTATACACTGGGGAAACCCTGTCAGATTTACCAGGGCTATCCCAACAGGGAAATGTGGGCAAGCTGCGGGGGTGGAAGGAGGCAGGATGGTAACATAGCATCTGGAACTGTAGGGTTGGAAGGCCTAATCGGACACCCTCACCCCTCTGGTGGAACAAGGTGCTGGAAACCATCAGGAAGACTTTGCAGAATTTGCTGTCCCCTATGCAAATGTTTTCATTTAAGAGCAAATTCTGTCCTTGTTTATTATTATGTGGGGCAGCATGTACTAGTGCATAGAGTACACGCACAAGGCCAACAGATTCTTGGGCTGGCCCATGAGTTATCTACAAAGTGTTTTGGCAGCAACTATTAATTTATGATAGCAGCTCTACCTAGTAAAGAGCTGATTTCAATCTTTGATACCCAGATGCACCTATCTTTATAAATCTGCACACTGTGAGTCAAATCAAGAACTAGCAATATTACTGTACCATAGTAGATCATTAGTATTGTCTAATGCTTCCTCTGTGACAACACACGGGATTTAGCAATTGGCTCCTAATGGAACAGTCCTTATTCATAATTTTATTGCATAGATTTTATTTATAGATAAAGGGTAAAATTTGAAAAAGCACTGAAATGACTTATGGGACAGATTTACAAAGGTATTTAGGTGCCTACAGATGCAGGCAGGCGCCAAGTGAGATTTTCAAAAGCATCTGTGTGCACCATTAGGAGCTTATCTGCATCTTTAGGCACCTAAATACCTTTGAAAATCTTGTCCTTGTGGGCCTAAGTCGAATTAAACTTAATGGCCTACGTCACTTTTGAAAATGGAACCTAAGATCCTAAGTCACTTAGAGAGAGACCTGGGTGTTTTGATTGATCACATGATGACTATAAGTAATGCATCAGGCAAGGCATTTCCAGTAGAGATACAGAGGTATTAATGCCGTGGTGCAAGGCATTGGTAAGACCTCCTCTGGAATACTGCGTACAATTCTGGTCACCCATTTTCAAGAAAGATTCATTTAAACGGTAACAGGTGCAGGGAAGAACTACTAGGATGATCAGGAAAATGGAGGGCCTGTCTTATGAGAGGAGACAGGAAGAGCTTGGCTTGTTTAGTCTAACAAAACAAAGGCTGAGAAGGGATAGGACTACTCTCTATAAATACATTGGGGGGAGGGAGGGAAGGAAACACCAGGAAGGGTGAAGAGCTATTTAATCTAAAGGTCAATGTTGGCACAAGAACAAATGGGTATAAACTGGGCATGAACAAATTCAGGCTGGAAACTAGAAGAAGGTTTCTAACCATCAGAGGAGTGAAGTTCTGGAACAGCCTCGCAATAGGAGTTGTCAGGGCAAACAACTTAATTACTTTTAATAGAGAGGTGGACAAATTTATGAGTGGAATTGTAGGATGGGGTTGCTTGTGATGGCAGGTAGCAGGGCTCAACAGCCCTGGGGCTCCCTTCCAGATTATGTCTTACATTCCTAAAAGCTCATGCTTCATGGCTTCAGCTAGTCACCTGACAGGGTCAGGAAGGGATTTTATCATTTCATTCTCTCCCCGCCCCCAAATGTATTCTGGTATGTTTGGGTTTTTTTTAATCTCCTTCCTCTGAAGCATCAGAGATGGCCGCATCTGGAGATGGGACACTGGATTGGGGGGGCCAGTCCTCTGAGGCAGCACAGAGCATTCTCTCACTCAGGTGTTTGGTTGCCTGGTTCTTGCACCCATACTCAGCGTCTAACTGATTGCTATATGTGGTGTTGGGAAGGAATTTTCTTCCAGGTCAGACTGGGAGTGATCTTGAGGGTTTTCACCTTCCTCTGCAGCATGGAGTGTTGGTCACTTGCCGGTATTAGCTGGGTATATTAATTAATTCCCTTTCATTGCGGAGGCCTTGGGCATTGTTGCACCTCAGTCACACCTATTTTCTGCCTGTGGCACATAATAGTTTAGTCTCCTGGTGGTCCCTTATGGCCTTAAACTCTATAACTCTATAAATTTGAAACACAAAATATGCTGTCTTATGTCCTCCCCACCCCCAATACTGGATCACAGTCTAGTTAAGAATCAAGGGCAACAAAGAGCAACAGAATGAACTTTTCCAATTTTGAAAAACTTAATCAAGCTTAGGGTGACCTTGCCAGTTAGGATGAAATTCTTGTTTCTTAAAAGGACATACATATCTCATTGTGCAATATAATTGCTGTTTATAAATTGGTAGATATGCAGAGAGATGCAGCAGAATACAAAGTATGGTACTAAAATCATGTAAATGTTAAAAAAGTTTATTATACTCTTCAAAATAAAACAAATAGTTTGTTTATTGTAACTGAGTTTCACATTCTCAGTACTACCATCCTCTCTAGGACCCAATTTAAACAGATGCAATGGCACTGAAGTCTTTAGGTCTGTATTTGAGTCATAACATCTATCCAGGAACACAAACATAAATAATAAATTCCAGAGATAGGCTGAATGTGTGCATCTAGTTCTAGATTAGGTTTAAACTGGGGTTTGAGGTTTGCATTTGAGTTTAAATCAGGGATAATCTTTAAGGTTTGATTTCTGATTCAACAGTACCAAATTTTCGTGAGCTGTTCTCGTGAGATTTCAGGCCCAAGAGGTAGAAATTTCATGGAAAAAAGCTGTTGCAAATGTCTATTATCTTGTAACATTTCGCCTACATCCAGCGTGGAACTCTCTAATAACCAAGAAACAAACCCAAACCCAATTCCTGGATCTAATCTGAAACAGAACCATAAAAATAGCTGTGGATTTGTGAATAAATCTTTCCTCTCTCTTGAAATTCTTGTAATTTTTTTCCATCTCAGATGTGGATCTGAGATTTCAGTTTTGGCTCATCTTTTATAAATTAAGCAATTACATTATGTGATTCTCTATTCTACACTATAAGTCACAAGTACAGTAAAGGGTGATTTTTTTGAAATGTACTGACTGTCTTTTGCTCCTTAAATCTTTTATACTCCAATACGAGAGATTTATTTTTGGAGTTTCATGTATTCTTTCTGTTGTTATTGCATTTTCCTTTCTCCTTTGCTTGCCCCACCTAGAGTATTCCTTTGCAGAAAAAAAGCTTGTTCAAATGCCTTTCTGCAGCAAAAGCAGCTGTGAGAAATGCTGTCAAAAATACTGTAAGTTTCAATACTGTAAGTTTACAATAGAGATTGAAAAGGGGATGGGCTGCAAAGCGTAGATCTGGATCCAAACTCCCTCAAAGTTCAGGGGTGTTTCCATCCAGGGTTTTCATTTGGGCCCAGCACCAGCGAGAAATAAGAAACACAAGATAAGTTGGATTTTGCCAAACTTCATTAGTCAAGCTTTGGATTTGAAAAACTAAAGATGATTCGGAATCAAATCCCATTTTAGCCAAGGTCTCAAAGTTTTATAAACAAACACCATCTGCCGCGGAATACTATGGCCAAGGAAACAGGGAACTGGGTTACAATCCATGTGGTATAATGTAAAAAATGTAAGAAAATGATTTAAAGATACTTCTAAATAGGTAAAACACTTGATGAGGCAAGACACAAAATCACAAAATGTGAACGAACTGGTTGTTTATCAGGTTTTCATTCTTAGGGAATGTCTACATTGCAAAGAAAACACGGCACTGAGAGCCTGTGTCAATTGACTTGAGCTCGCGGGGCTAAAGATATCAATGTCGATGTTCTCGCCCTGGCTCCAAGACACTTTTCCTCTCCCCAGGTTTCAGAAACACTGCCCCCACTACCACCTATGCGGAATGATACACCTTCATGAATTTACCTGAGGAATTTATTCAGATCTCCGTGCTTCATGTACTCAAAAACCATGATGAGTGGATCACCTTCCACGCACACGCCATAAAACTTCACAATGTGCTCATGCTGTAGGTTAGTCAGCAATTCTGCCTCTCGGTGGAAGTCTTTCCGAGCATTATCACTGGCATCTTTCAGTGTCTGGAGAAGAAATGGAAAGGGATATGTAAAACAAAGAACATGGTGGTGGGGGGAGATGAGGGTACAGTACTATGTCAGGGACAGAGAATATACATTTTTGGTGTGACTGGTTATAAATATCAGATCTAGATCCAAGTAAAGCACAGACCTGTGATTTTACAGTATTTCCTCTGCTATATTTCATCACATATTTATTATTACAGTAGAACCTCAGAGTTATGAACACTAGAGTTACGAACTGACCAGTCAACCACTCACCTAATTTGGAACCAGAAGTACATAACCAGGAAGCAGCAGAGACCAAAAAAAGAAAGCAAATATAGAACAGTACTGTGTTAAACATAAACTACTAATGATTTGATAAGGTAAGGAAACTGCTTCTGTGCTTGTTTCATTTAAATTAAGATAATTAAAAGCAGCATTTTTCTTCTGCATAGTAAAGTTTCAAAGCTATATTAAGTCAATGTTCAGTTGTAAAATTTTGAAAGAACAACCATTGTGTTTTGTTCAGAGTTACGAACATTTCAGAGTTATGAACAACCTCCATTCCTGAGATGATGGTAACTATGAGGTTCTATTGTATTATTTCTTTCTGTTGCAGTAACTTGTAGAAGCCCCGATCATGGACCAGGACCCCATTGCTAGGAGCTGGGTGAACACCGAACAAAAACTCAGTCCCTGCCACAAAGAGCTTAGCAGTAGACAAAGGGCCTGAGTTTCTTTTGCTTTACACTAGTGTAAAACCCCGATCTTGAATTGGAGCCTGTGAGTATTGTAAGTTCTTTGAAGTAAGGACTGGTCCTCCTAAAATACTTAGCAGAATTGTAGGTGTTTTAATTAATTGTTTTATTGTTGTTGTTGTTGTTATTGCTGTTTGGCATCAAAATTGAGTTAAGCATTTTGCAGACTTATAGGTGGTCATCTCTCTGCACAACAGCTTACAAACTAAGGCCCCAATCAAAGATTCACTTTGAGTTCAATGGATCTACTCGCATGCTTAAAGTTAAGCAGAGACCAAATGAATTTCACATAAAAAGAAATGAAATGCTACTATAATAAGGACCAGATGGAGGGGCGATGTGGGATGGAAAGAGGAAGGCTGGACAGCAGCCTGAAGGTTCTACAAAGTTGCCCCTCATTCTTCCCCATAAATCCGAGAATCTGCAGATTTTGGAGACCCTCCTCTACCTCCTCTATTACCTCACAAACATTTCTTACCTGAGAGGAGCATTTCTGAACCTCATTGTGTTTTCTGAGACAAGTGTCCCTCTCCCACAGGTATTACCAGAAGAGGGTGATGTCACAGTTTCAGGGTAACTGCACCTGTATTTCCCCCTCTGTGGTCCCTCAAATGCACCCACTTAAAGGTTTCTGACTCCCCGCCGCCACTTCTCTTCAGTGGAGCCCCACATCTCACTCCCTTCTGACTAGGATTTTTAAGACTGCGCAGTTCCCTGATCTACCTTGTGATAGCCCCAGCAAGCCAATCTGCCTAAAAGAGCAGTGCTTGCGCTTTGCTTTCTCTTCAAAGAGCTATGCACTATGTACTGCCAGAAGTTACAAATCACCACATAGCTCCTTCTCAGCAAGCACATTTGTTCTTAAGGTGAAAGAATTACTGGGAAAGCATATCAAAACAATCAAAAAACCTACATGAATATTAAAAAGTTTAGCATAGATCACTCTAACTGCAGCATAGAACTCTGGTAGGTGCTAGTCATTCAAACCTCATAATGGGGCTTTCCCTGTGGTTACAAGTTCATATCACTCTTTAGATCAGGAACCAGAAATGAAGGCCCTGAGTCAGTTTAAGATCGGGCTATTTATCCAAAAGTCCTTTCGTTGCCTGTTGGTCTCTGGAGAATCCACTTTGAACCTTTCTGGAGGTGTAATAACCTGAGTGATTTGCCTTAATCATCCCCTACTGTTTTCACTAATGGAAGAGCTGTGTTAATCCTCCCCTCATGGAATGTATATAATCCCTGGCTCACAGTGATACATAAGCCATTCATTTACATTTAAGACAATATTGTCTCCCAAAGATATTGCAGGTAGTTGCCCTATCTGTCACAGGTGCAATACGGCTTTTAGCTGCTGCAATACCTACCCATTATAGAACATCATTATATGGAGCTAAGTCATCTAATAGCAACATAAACTCAGGTTCCATCTATTGACACAGAACAGCCATGTTATGGGACCAAGTTATAACACATTATTAGATTGTTCAGGACTTTAGAGTAGTACAGGAACAGAGCTAAGGTCCAGTCTACAGCAAATAATGGAATTACAGGGGACAACTGCGTCACAATGTGGTTTCCTGTGATGATTTTATCTGTAATGTAGTTGGGCCCTCATTCAACAAATTGCCAATATAACAGCTCTAGAAAAATAGTTCATTGTAAAAACAGTTTTTTAAAACAAGCAATTATGAGGACTACTTTAAAAAATACAATTTGGGGGAAATATGTGGTTCCCCATCACACATTTTCTCGGGAAGATTGTAAAAATGCCGACAGCTTTGTTGTATGAAGCTGGCATATTGTGTGTTTCAGAAACTATTTTTTATCTCCGAGAAGCAGCAAAATTATCCTATGATGGAGCAGTTGCTATAGCAACTACACATTTTCCGTCAACCAGCAGAATGAATAATGGCCTAAAACCTGGGTAGACTGTTGAGAGTTTCTGCTACCATGGGGGTTGCTTGAACTTCTCCCCAACTTGCCCCTCATGTTTCCCCCCATGTAGCACGCACAATAACTTTACTGCATTAGAGAGAGCTGACACTTGTGCATGGAGATACTGGTGGTGAGCAAAAATTAATAAGCAAACAGAATTTACATGCAAATGACACAGAATACTGCATTTGACTTGTTCTCACTGTAGCGGGGAAACAGGAGAGTCTTAAAGAATTTGAGACAAAGATGTATTCATTATTAGTGACAAAGGGGCCAAATCTCTGCAAGCAAAACTTCCCCTGAAGTCAACCAGGGAAGAAGGGAGCTTTCCCCACAGACAGCAGAGCTGCTCCATGGCTGTTGCAAAAGCCCCACATCTGCTGCACCCTGAATTGTCACAGATAAAAGTCTGTTCAGTCATGGTTCCACTGGCCACACTGTTCCCTTCCCCTAGCCCAACCCAAGCCCTCATTCATGAAACAGCTTGGAAATTGCCCTTCTGGGTCTGTGGTCCATGGTGCACGGTGCAGAACCTGTTACAAGGACTTCTGGTATCCTCCCCCACTCTGCATCACTATGCAGTGGAGCTATAATGTATGCCCACAAAAGCAGGGGGAACAGGGGTTACCCATAAGCAAGGACTGGAGGGTTTGGCTATCATTATAATTATTATTACTATTAATGTTATTAATAACAAAATTCTATAGATATGTTTCCTTCACAGTGCACTGAGCTTTCACCATTAGATTCTTATCACTCTTAACTGGGTTCACCGTCCCTCCCCATGCCATGCAACAAGCTAAGTCATGTATTTACTACAAAGTCTGGTTTGATTTAAAAACCTCTCTGAACTGGGTAGATCTGATGAGCTGAAAATCCTCACATTTCTTTTGTGTTGTGTTTGTGGTTCTGTGTATTGTACAGGCAGAATTTCTCTAACTGGAACAGAAATCTACAAGCAAATTGGCATCTATATGATTCAATCCTGATATCAGAAATAGCAGGCACTTGTGTCATAAAATCAGCTACTCCACTTACGCAGCTGACTCTCTAAGGCTACATTTACACTACGAGCTAGGGGTGTGATTCCCCAGCTTGTGTACACATACTTGTGCTAGCTTGTATAAATAGCAGGATAGCCACGGTAGTGGCAGCAGAGGCATGGCTTAGCCATTCCAAATACAACCCCGCCTGAGTCTTAATGAGAGAGCGCACAAGGACATGCACACAAACAGAGGAATCACATCACTAGCTCATAGCCTAAAATATATGTGAGGTGCATCTGAGTTTCTGAGATCAGGATCAAGACTTAAACATTCAGCTGCTCAAAATAATATGAGGCATGTGTTCCCTTTCCACCCCTATGGGTTCAGGAGGACCAGGAAGCAGCTGCAGACTTGTGCTCCACAGGAATTCCCTGCATCTGACTCTAGTGGGGTCAAGTGAATCCAAGACTATGCCCATGGATCTGTTCCCATGACAGTGGCATATGAGGGTACTGCAACCCTAAGTCTGCAGTAGTGGTTTGGAGTGGCAACGTGGCATACAGGGGGCATGTGACTATTCCTCCATCCACTCACCAAACCCTCTGGAACTGCCTTGCAGCAAATAGCCCACCCATGTACAGAGGGCTCGTACAAGGCTTATGCACCATTTACAGCTCACTTAAGTCTTTTGTGCATAGGATCTGGCACACAGAATGAGTTCCTGTACACAGTGCACTGTCCAAAAAACCTAGAAGTCAAAATATATGAAACCTAACTGGCTCAAAAAATAGTATTATTTTCAATGGAAGATGCACAGATATTTGGATGTTTATATGATTTTATCTACAACCAGGTTTTTCTGAATCTCTTAGCTCTGAAATCATTTGCTGAATCAATATAAAACTTTAAAATATCTGTCCACCCAAAAGGAAAGTGCTGTATTTTGAGTCAGGCCCAATTCCTTCTATAAGGCACAATAACAGCAATTTCTTAACATGCATGCACAATGCTGTTACGGTTGCCCAGCAACCAGCAGAAGGCATGTCAAAGATCCAGAGGAGCCTCCAATGAATGAAAAGAAGCTCTGACAATAATTTCACATAGGTGAGAAGATGCTCACCCCTGGGCCAACTTGCTCAGCTTCTTTGCTGCCTAAATCCTCCAGAGATAGACATATTTGTCACCAAATATGCACTTCAATTATGATGGTAGAAGCTTTTTCACAGGAACATTTTTAGTTTGTTCTCAGTCCCAAGGGGGTTTTCCTAGGTTTACTGATGTGAAATCCTTCTAAATTATTCACAACTCTGAAAGGTAGAAATACCATAATTGTACTTTGAACCTTGCCCCAAGATACATTTCCCTTGGAGCCCAATCCTGCTCCCATTTAAATCAATGGGCGTTTTACCATTGACTTCAGTGGGAGCAGGACCTTGTTCTATCGTACGTACAGAAGTAAAGTGGTCACCCTAATAGGAACACACGAATTGCCATACTGGGTGAAAACTTTGGACCCCTTAGTCCAACATTCTCTTTGACAGCAGGCAGTTTTGGCTAATTCAGATAAAGGAGTAAGAACCCCCAAATGGGCAGTTAGGGAATAGCCTGCCCAAAAAAGGAAATTTCTTCCAAATAGTTCAGTTAGATAGTAGTTTATGCCATGGAACATGAGGCTTAGATTTTTTCCTTGGTTATCAGTCAGATGGCTAATAAGCACTACCCTAAGTATAGATTGTGATGAGGACTTGTACCAGTCCTGGTGCTGTGAACTGACAGAATCGTGTCTGTTAATCCATGGAGACAGCTGTCCCTCAAAGCCATTGTGAGCTGCAGTGAGAAAGAGCAACACAGAAGGGAGTGGGCAGGCAGCATCTAAACAGCACCTGAAGTGACTCCCTTTTGGACTCCATTCGTTCAGGACTGACAAAGGGAGTAAGACAATGGAAAGGTGCTGATTATGCCACTTCACTGCTAAGTGAGGGAAAAGAGAGGAAGTGTAGATTTATTAATCAATTGGTCAGAAAACAATCTCATCTCTTCCACAAAACAATGAATGAAAAGTGCTATATAAAAGCTATGCATTGTTGTTATTATTCACTTAGCCAAAGGTTGTAATCTCTAACCCCTCACTTCCTCCCTGCCTCTGATATATCCTTTCAGGGCTACATTTTCTTTTTTCCCATCAATTTTATTAAACTACTGGAAAGACCTGCAAGCTTTCATAGACCCGTGAGCTTGGCAAACTCAGAGAATGTTTGCAAGAAATTATTCGTTTGACAAATCTAGCCTCCTTTCCTGCTCCTACATTGCAAGTTACTCAAATCTATTTGTTGTTTACATTTACATGAAGAAGGTCTGCTGGGATGTTTTACTCTATGGACGGATCATGAATATTCAAAATGTGCACATAGTTGTTTCGTTGTGAATGGTCAGATGGGTTACGTGGTATTGTTTCTGTTCCCTAACTCAGGGCTCAGCTCTGCAAAAACTTATGTTAATGAATAGTCCCAATGACTTTAATGGGGCTTTTACTTTTCACATTCAGACCCTTGTGTGTTTTGGTAGGACAAAGGTGGGGAGTGGGAGGAGAGGAACTGCCTTTTTCACAAGATGCCCCCAGCAGACTCCAAAATGTGGAGTGGAAATTAGTGAGGATTAGTTAACTATGTTTTCTACTGTACATCCACAGTTGGGATTGGGAACCGCCCTCAGGAGCTCCGCTGCTTGGCAGGAAAGTGCCTGTAGAGTAGCCTAGCTACTGTACAGATGCCCCAATCTCAGTGGGGATGTCCCCTTATTTCCCTCTGGAGCACGAGTGGAGTTCGGTCCTTTCTGTGATGCTGATAAACTCTTCCTCCCCTCTAAGGGGAGAATAATTCCAGATATCAGCAGCTTCATAGTTATTGATGCTTTCTCCTTAGTTTTCCTCCTCTCATTGGTTTTTGTTTGGAAGGGCAGAATGGAGTCCTATAACCAAGAATTACCCTTCCAGCACTGAAATGCAGTCACTTCTGGATTTGAACATAGCAGCGGCTTAAGAGCACACCACAATTCTACCCAAAAGCTTAGGCCAGGAAATGATATTGTAAAATGTTGGCAGTTGACTAAGAACCACATGAACCTTTGTGAATAGCTCTTTGTTGACTAGCAGTTACATGTGTAACCTAGTAATGTAGCTGGTTATAGTTTAGGGGTTTTTTAGACATACGAACATGAGCCCCCATGTATTTTTAATGACACTTCTGCCATTATTTTTCATTCCTCGTATTTCAGATAGACCATAAAAGATTTTGCCCCATTGTGACACTGTCATTTCCCCCCCTTTTCTTTATGAAACTCAGCTCTCATTTTATAATCCACAGCCAGATCAAATATCATATTCTCTTGACAGTCCATCAGCCTCGTGAGCCCTTGCACATATATCACAGGAGTTACACAGGGCTTACTGAACAGGCAAACAGGATCATTTACAAATAAAACAGCATTAGTTGAAACCATGAATTAACAATGGAAATTCTAGACTCTCTTACCTTCACCGCCACCAAGATCTTGTCCTGCTCTGGAGAAAGGTTATAGCACTCGGCCAAGAAGACTTTCCCAAAGGCTCCTTCTCCCAGCTCTCTTTTTAGAACAATATTGTGTCGTTTGATGTGCTGAACAACTGTAAAGGGAACATAAAATGCATGTTAGAAGTGAATTTGGGGGAAAGGGTGGGAGGGTGCCCAGATGCATAGGTACACTATGGAGGGGGAGGGTTTTCCTGTACAGTACTGGGCATATAGCGGAAAGAATGCCATAGATGTCATTAGAGTTCTGTCATCAGCCAGATCACTGTAAGAAGTGTGTTAATATAGTTATAGAGAGGGCACAGTTTATTTGCTTTACAAGACATGGCACTGAGACCCTGGCAGTCATCAGGAGAGGGGTTTTCATCAGTAGACTTGGATGACTCCTCTGAATATGAGAGTGAATATTGCTTTCCCACAAGTAAAAACAAAGGAAAAAAATGCAGGAAGTAGATGAAGCTTCTCTCATACCACTTCCATTTTTATTTCTCTAACAGCAGCTGATCCTTTTCATTCAGCTCCAAAGAAAAATTTGGGGAGGAGGGAGAGGGAGGAAACAAAATAAAACATTCACATAATCCAAGAAGATAAAGTATGCCCTCTTTTAATTAAATCCAATCTACTCCCTGGCTCTCTGCTTATCGCTTGTTCATCTTAAATTAAACTGCTACTTGCTCTGTCTGTTTCATGCTACAGCTGGGATAAGGCAGATATTTCATTCTCACAAATATGATTTACACTGTTGCTCGAAGGTAAAAGAAAAAAATAACACAAGATGGACCAAGGTTTTAGTCAATGTTGCTGATAGAACCTTTCAAATATCTGCTGAAAGAACTCACTACTAATGGACCAATTCATAAAGCCCTTAAGCATATTTTTTACTCTATCCTTTTGAACGCAAACTTTAATTAAAGGATTTAGTATTTAAAAATACTGAACCAGATTTACTGGTATACTCTGGCAACTTTGCACTGTGCTAGCTACATAAAGCAGCTGAAAGCCCAGTTTAACTGGTCAATTAAGTTGCGTTTCCAGCTGCTTTGTGTTGCTGGAGTGGCACAAAGCAGCCAAAGTGTACTGGTGAATTTGCCCCATTTATTTGGTTTCACAGACATTGAAATTCACCCCTCTGTGGACAGCCAACACAAAGCCTATGCACCACTTCAGTCCTAATTAAGACCTGAAAAGTAAATGGGACCTAAGTGGTGCATAGGCCTCTTGCAGGCTGTTTGCACACGGGTGAATCTCACCTAAACTGTACATGTAATTGCATCCAGTTTGTTGAATCAATACACAGGAAAGTTACAGTGAGCTTTGGATAATTTAAGTTTACAGACCACTCTCTGACCCAGTACCCGCCCATTCAGATGTTACAGAATGGGAGCAAAGTTCTCTAGAAAACAGCCTATTTACACAGCCATAGGCTGCTCAGGGATGTGCTCCGATGGATACTAGTGAAAAAACCCACATGCCCCTGTTCTTCCTCAGTGTTAGGACACAAGGAGAAAGCAGCCACAGCGTGAGGGGAAATGGACATATATGCCACACACAGTAGATGCTGACCCTTGCATACTGCATACAAATATTGTATTCATATTTCAGTTTGATGCTGAAATAATCCAGCATAGAGCCCCAGGGCCACCTGTGCCTCCTCCGTGGCTCGTCTGCCAGAGACAAGAGCAAGCCTGTGAAGAGTGTCTCCATGAGTGCTGGCTGCAACTCACTAGGAAGCACGAGAAGGAGTTCACGGTGTGGAAAAGAGCCCATGATACAAGCCAGGATTCTCATGCCCTGGCACTTCAAAAGTCCCAATCCCCATATATAAAGCAAGAAATGCAGGGAACTCATGGCTTCTCCTGCCCTACCACCAATAGGTTCCTACAAGCCAGTGGTGCCCAACCTTTCCTGCTTGAGCACCAAATATGTTATTTCATAAAGGTCAGGGAGCCCCAATTAAGATTTTAGGGCATATTCTCCATCATGCTCCACTCCATTTGTGATGCAAAGGGAAGAGAAGCCACTTACAATCCCCTGATGGGGATTCCCTCAGTATGGGGGAGACCCCAGTAGGCACAGAGTCAGCATATTTGACTCTTTCACCTCCCTTCTGACAGCTCCTAGTGCATGGGTTATGTATAGGAGTGATTGGTATGGTCTGCATTCCAGCTATCCTCAGCCGGCATATGGTCTCTAAGGCACCATAGACAGCTGGGGAAAGTTAGAGCAGTCCTTAGGCTGTACTGGAGCAGAGAATCTGGGACCCATAACTGGTTGTTGGTTCTCAGCTTCGACTGTTTTTCCTCCTCTCCTGGGTTTCTTGGTGTGGGTGAGGAGAGCCATCCTCTGGGGTCAGGTAGTGCCAGTAAAGCACTCTCTCGGGCTTCCACAGCCTGTCAGGGAAGCAACAACAGAGTAGCCAGAACTACTTTCCTCTCATGCAGCGTAGCTGATGGCCAAAGGGAACCTTCTGAGCAACCACAATAGGGAAGGAAGATGCTCAGACCCCCCTGGGCCCACACCAGGGCTGCTCCAGGTGTCCTCTCCTTCCTCCTCATATCAACAGGGCTGATTCAGACATTTCAGATTAAAAATCACAGGGTGCGGCTCAAGGAGCACACTTCCCATTCATAATCAAATACACGTTTTCTTCCTAGCTGTCACCCTTGACAGCCACCATGTCAAGCTTCCAGGGCCAGACCACAGGTTGAACACTGCTGACGCAAGCTAGGAATGGCTCCCTGTTTTCTCATGATGGTAGTGCATTGTACCAAAGGATTCCATTTCTGTGAGACTCTGGTCTCAAATCCCTTTATCAGTGAGTCCTTTAAAGTGTGGTGTTACTGTTTGACATAGATTTTTTTGGTCCTGGTCCTCAAGTGCTGTAAATTGGTATGTTGACATTGAAATCGCTGGAGCTTTGGCAATTTAAACCATCTGAGGATCTAGCCCTTTATTTTCATGTCCTCCCCACCATTGGGATTTTTTAAAAATAAAGGATGATAGAAAGTTATAACAAGAGCCAGGCCCAAACCCTCCCCTGACAGATGCAAACCTGTATTTACTGTCTTACATTCATCTCTATTCATATTATTAAGTATTCACCACAAAATAAATATCGAGTCTGGACTGCAGTCAAGTGTCTTGGAGAGAGGCCCAAATTCAGCAAACGTGGAGCATGTTTCAAATAGAAATTAAGCACCATGCCGAAATAGGGTGCACATTCCTGGGCCACCAGTGCATGACTTAGGCTTTGTGGTTCACAACATGCCTGAGGTATGCAGCAATAGCCTAAGAGTTCACATCCTGTTGGCTCTAATTGCTCTGCTTTCTTTGCCTTTTATTAATTGTTCCCGTTCCAATTCAGCTACTTCAAACTGGGAAATAATTGATTGAGTAAACAGTCCCTTGCCACTAACAGAAGTCTTCAATTACTGCTCATGATATAGGGATATTTTGGAAATGATGCAGTTCAAAACTCTTCAGTCATTATTTGTACAGTTCCCAACGGTTGGTATTAAAAAAGGTTGAGGAGAGTTAATACATTGACATCATATGGTTTGGTTGGGGAGTGGTCCAATTGTGGTCAGAGAGACCAGGCCACAGTCCCCTTTGTGCCAGCTGATAAGGAGATTCTGAGGAGGCTGGGGAAGGGGTGATCTCAAGGAACGTTTCAGATATTGATAAGAGGCTGGATTCTCTCTTCATCTGAGATATTGGGTCTTTTACTCCACAACAGTTTTCTTGAATATTAGTATGGCAGTGGCTAAGGTGGCATTGGAGGGATCTGAAGCACTTTAAGAGCTACTAGACAGACTAGAAAAGACTCTTCAGAACCTTTATCAGCTCAGGGATCTTGCACTTGCCAAATAATGATATTATTGCCACATTCAGGACTCTGAAGGACTGTGACCAGCTGCTCCATCTTTCATCGGGAAGGGGCTTGAAAATTCCTCGTGTCATAGCATTGGTTCCCGGTCAACCATTTCACTTCCTTTTGGGTCTTCCTCTCCCTCTCCCCCCCACATATCATTAAGGACTCTCTCATTTCCTTTCATGGATGAGAGGGACAGGTCAGATCCACTTACCACATATCACATTTTTTAAAATGCGTGTCCCACCTAGTAACTGTTGTTAGGCAGAGAATGTAGGGGAAATCCTGGCCCCATTGAAGTTAACAGCAAAACTTTCACTGCGTTCCTTTTAATATTATCACAGAGGGATTGCTGATAAACAAATGAGACATTTTAACTTTGTTCTTTTCATCTCCATTTGAAACACAGAGAAGCATCAGTGTTTGACCCAATGGTGAAGAGATTTTATTGTCAAGTTTCTAAGAGGACATCACAATGGAGAGTAAAATAAATAAGAATTGTTAAATATTGCTTTACAGAGAACTCACAGCTACAGCAAAATACTCTTATATAAAATAACTATTGGGTAAATGACTTGTCCCATAACAAACTGTCAAATGCAAAACACAGCATCCCATCATTCCAAAGCCCTGTATGTCAACTGCAGAAAAATAGTTCTGCACAGAATACGTATTTGCAACTTGTCACATTGTATCTATCACAGTTACCTTTCTGTGCAAAATGGAGTGCTAAATAAATACAAAATGGCAGTGAATGTGACTAAGTGGGCACAGATTAAATATAAGAACAACACACATAAATCAAATATATACAATATGATGTGACAGAAATTTGAGCTGAGGAAAAATCCAGTTAGCAAACACAGGGCCCAATCATGCTGCCATTGACTTGGGTGGGAGGAGACTCTAGAAGGAGATATACCAAAAACTTTAGAGTCAAATTCTGCTCTTAGTGTTGTTACTCAGGAATTATTTAGGGGTAGGTTTATAAAGGCACAGGTACTCAACTCCCATTGACTTTGAATGGGAGGTATGGCAATTGAGACTTTAAAAATCTCCCCTATACTGGTGAAAAAGGTCTCATTTCACTACAGCAACAAGATTGGAAGAGCTAATATGAGTCAAAATACTTTAGGGAAAAATTAGAGATAAAATGTAAAGTTCAAGATAAACCAGACAAAACAAATTGTTCAAAACAGGTAGCAGTGTAAAATTATAGCCCCC